TAATAAAAAATATGGGGGTGTTTGGCAAAGGTAGAAGTTCGTATCCCGCAAAAGAGTAAGATAGGACCAAAAACAGTGGATTGTATGTTTATTGGTTATGCGTATAATAGTAGTGCATATCGGTTCCTGACTTATAAATCAAAAATACCTGATATACATGTGAACACTATTATAGAATCAAGGCTTGCTATGTTTTCTGAACATGTTTTTCCTTACAAGAAAGGACAAGAATTAAGTTCACAGAAAAGAACTTATGATTGCACGCAAAGTCAATGGACTAATGACAATCAAACGCAAGAGACTAGTCATAGTCTCGACCAACAGGATTTAACTAATGATGAACCAAGACGAAGTAAGAGAGCGAGAATATTAAAATCCTTTGGTCCAGATTTTCTGACATACCTGTTAGAAAATGAGCCTCAAAGCTTTAAGGAAGCAATGTCAGGTCCTGAAGCACCTATGTGGAAAGAGGCTGTTAATAATGAAATTGAATCCATTATGGAAAATCATACTTGGAAATTGGTGGATCTTCTTGGGTATAAATGGATATTCAAGATAAAAATGAAAGTAGATTGTTCATTAGACAAGTATAAGGCAACACTTGTGGTAAAAGGTTACAGAGAAAAGAAAGGTCTAGACTATTTTGACACTTATTTCCCTGTAACAAGAATAACATCCATCCGCATGCTTATTGCTATAGCAGCATTGTATAATTTAGAGATACATTAAATGGATGTTAAGATAGCTTTCTTAAATGGTGATCTAAACGAAGAGATCTATATGGAGCAACCTGAACTGGTTGTAGTGCTAGGGCAACAAAAGAAAGTTTGTTGGCTTGTAAAATCTCTTTATGCATTAAAACAAGCTTCTAAGCAATGTCATGAAAAATTTGGTCACATTTTGCTTACTAATGGGTTTAAGATAATATGACAAGTGCGTCTATGTTAAAAACACTGACAAAGGTTATGTCATCATTTGTCTTTATGTGGATGACATGCTTATCATTGGAACTAGTCAAAACATGATCAAATCAACCAAGCAAATGTTGAACAAAAGATTTGATATGAAAGATATGGGAGTCGCAGATATAATATTAGGAATGAAAATTACTAAAACGTCTGATGGATGTGCATTATCTCAATCTCATTATATTGACAAAATTCTTAGTAAATATATCAAGGATGATATGAATGTAGCAAGAACATCTACAGACATCAGTTCTTATTTATCAAAAAATAAAGGTAATGCAGTGTCTCAATTAAAATACTCCCAAATCATTGGATGCCTAATGTACCTAATGAATTGCACGTGTCTCGATATAGCTTATGCTGTCAGTAAATTGAGTAGGTACACTAGTAACCCTGGAGAAGACCATTGGAAAGCGATCATTCGGGTTCTTAGATATCTATGATTTACCCGTGATCATGGCTTAAACTTTACTCGATATCCAGCAGTACTCAAAGGCTATTGTGTTGCAAATTGGGTATCGGATACTAAAGATTCAAAATCCACTAGTGGATATGTCTTTACTTTGGGAGGTGCTGCTGTTTCTTGAAAATCCACAAAACAACCATGCATTGCATGATCCACAATAGAATCTGAGTTCATCGCTTTAAACAAAGCAGTAGAAGAATCAGAATGGCTTTGCCACTTTTTAGAAGACATTCCAATGTGGCGAAAACCCGTGCCACATATTTGCATTCATTGTGATAGTAGATCTGCAATAGGCAGGGCACATAGTCATATGTATAATGGTAAGTCATGACATACTCATCGTCGACATAATACCGTAAGGCAATTGCTCTCAAATAATAGATTATATAAAATCTAAAGAGAATATTGCAGATTCGTTAATGAAAGGTTTGGCAAAAGAGCATGTGTATAGTTCATCGAAGGGGATGAGATTAAAGCCTATTACTTAAGAGTCATCATAATGGTAACTCTATTTTCCATAACCCAAATCCGCCCCTATAGATTTAGCATCACGACTGGCCAATAATCATAGATTACCTACGGCCTCTATAAACAAAATCCGTTTAATATAAAGTACGAGACTTAGCAGAAGTATATTATAACATAGAAAAAGAAAAAAAAAATTATCCTTTGAGCCGTTGAAAGAAACTTCAAATCAAAACTGTACAACTGTTTTATGAGTAAGGGCATACACCACAAACGTTTTAAATAAAAACAAACATTCAGGCCACAATTTTGAACTTGTCAAGTCTTACATACACAAAAACCCCTATGCAAAAAATCAACTAAGAGTTTACAACAAAAACGGGTTTAGACTTTGCTTGGCTCCGCACGAGTCCAAGTTGGTTGCATCTCGGAAGCTCCACAAAAGGTTGACCACGGGGTGACTCTGTGGCGATCTCAATCCTTGATGCTCAACTTGCTCGCCTATATATATATACATAAACAGCGAGCTAATGCCCAATGAGTAATAACAGAATAAAGAGGTTATATGAATGAAGTTCCACACCATTACAAATATCAATTAGATTAGCCATCATATCAATCCTTTGCAATAACAGAACCATTGTTCGATAGCATTTTCAATACAATTTTGATTTCAATACAATTCTCAATAATCCATGTTATCTCAATAGCATTACACACTCAATGACAATTTACGTGGAACATCCAATAGAGTAACAATGTATCAATAACAATGGGACCTCAAGGGTTAATCAATGGACCGCAATGGGTCAATCAATGCATCTTATCCAATGTGACCATTAAGGTCTAACTGCAAAGATCTCTGTATTTTAATTATCCAATGGGCCACAGTATTGTTTCCCCCAAGCGATGGCCAATGGGCCTTGCTATTTATTTCCCCCAGGCAAGGACCTCTTTATCAATGGGCCATGGTAATATATCCCGCAAGCGAGGGCCTATTAAGCAATGGGCCATGGTATTATATCCCCTAGACGAGGGCTTCACTAAAGGATGCAACAAATACATTTTCAAAAGGGAACTTCATTCATTCATAAGAAACTAAAGTTTCAATAAACCATTCGATGAACAATAATAGGGTTGATAAATCATTATGACGTTTCAATAAACCATTCATTTCAATAAGCCATTCAATCATTCATATATAAATTTTGATAACAAAAACATTTTCAAAAATAAATATAACTCGAACATACCTTTATAGAGTTATTACTCACAGTGGATTACGTTGTCAATAGGCCTCGGACGTCCACCTATTCAAAACACATAACAAAAATGCAATTAGAGTACCGTTCAATAACCATGCTGGTTTAATTAAATTTTTCTCATGTGTTTCTAACTCATTACATGTTTATGTGAGCTCAATTGGTGCCTAAGAGTACTTGAAATAACATGAGGATGCAAGTATGCACTTACAAGAGTTAGTCAAACTTTATTGAAAACAGGGTCTCCGCTCGAGCACAACATCCTTCGCTCGAGCGAATGTTAAAAAATAAGGGTAGTCGCTCGAGCACAACTTCTGTTGCTCGAGCGGTCTGTAAATTTTGCAAAAGTACTGGTAGCATTAAATTTCCGCTCGACAGCTGCTCGAGTGGAATACTGAGTAAAAGGGGTCCTCACTCGAGTGCCACTTTAGTCACTCGAGCAATATGTAAAATTTTGTAAAACTTCTGGGGGCTCGATATTTATGCTTGAGCGACACTTTCTTCGCTCGAGCGGACATGGAATTTCCAGAATTGTGTTTGAAGTTCAAATTTGATATACAAAGGTTCAAAACTTGTATTTTTGGTACAAAAACATGGAAAAACATCTTAGAACTTGGAAATGTAGTCAATTTGAAACCAATTGCTCAAAATCATGGACCCAATTCTCAAAATTAAACTTAAATCATGAAGTTGGAACCATGCATGACATGCATTGCCCTCATTTCTTTTGAAATCCTTTCAAGACTTGATCAAATGGCATGACAAGTGTAACAACATGAAGAACTCCTCAAATAAATGTGTAGAAGTCTCATGCATGTAAGAATCCATAGAAATCTGAAGTCAAAGATTAAGGATTATGCATGCATGTATGCAATTATACTCAATTGTTCCATAATCAAGTCAATCCTTTGTACTTACATGCAAATAGATCCATAACTTCTTGAATTCATGACCTACAAGTTTTATTTTCAAGATTTAAGGAGGAATTCCATCCCTAGGATGTGGATTCAACTGTTGTCTAGTTCAATTCTTCAAATCCTCCACAATTTCCTTCAAATTCCCCTTTCTCTCTCTCTAAATGTGGAGCTTAGCTTCCTCCTCTCTCAAAATCTCAGCCCATGTGTTTGTATAAGCGAGTTCAAAACATGTGCTAAGCTTATATAGAGTGTAATTAACTTAGCCTAATCAAAGTTGATTAAGGTTAATTAATTAGGCTCATTTCTAACTAAGTTTAATCAGTTTATTCTAATTATTTTGGTCCGAATCAAATTTTGCCAAAAGTTGCCATAAAATTCTAAATATCCTAATTGGCTTATTGGGCTAGTCAATTTTGGCTTCCGAAGCCGTTTGGTCTTTCAATTTCTGATTCTAAGTCGAAGAGTGAACATATATTCCATGAAATAACAAATAACTACAAAATTAAGCATGTAAACACATAATTAAACACACAATCATGCAACTAAACTTATTGAAACAATATAATACAATAATACGGAGGTCGGGGCCGACACAGTCTCTCCCCCTTAGAAAGTTTGGTCCTCCAAACTTAAGTTACCTTCAAACGGACACAAATGCGGATATCGTTGCCGCATCTCATCCTCTTTTTCCCAAGTGGCCTCTTTCCCATAATGTTCTTTCCACTCGACCTTCACCATAGGGATAGTTTTGTTTCTCAATTGCTTCACTTGCCGATCAATGATCTGCATGGGCCATTCTTCATAAATCATATTTTCGTGTAAAGCAATCCGATGGTGATCAATCACATGGAATGGATCTCTAAGATACCCACAAAGCATGGATACATAGTGGACATTATGCATTTGTTCCATTCTCGGTGGCATGGCAATACGGTAAGCAACAGGACCCAACGGTTTAAGAATCTGAAAAGGTCCAATATAGCGAGGAGTTAGTTTTCCTTCTTGCCAAATCAGATCTGTCCTTTCATCGGTGTTACTTTGATAAATACATGATCCCCCGTTTCATATTCTAAGTCTCTTCTTCGCTGGTCCGCATAACTTTTATGTCGGCTCTGTGCTGTCTTAAGCCTTTGCCGAATGATTTTGGTCTTTTCGGTTGTTTCTTGCACATGTTCGATACCATAAATAGCCCTGTTACCAACCTTTATCCAACAAATTGGTGATCTACACTTTCTTCCATATAGTGCCTCATATGGTGCCATACCAATGCTAGCGTGAAAAGTATTGTTATAGGCAAACTTGGCCAATGGAAAATACGTTTCCCACCTTTCCTGAAAGTCCATAACACATATATGAAGCATGTCTTCTAAGGTTTGAATAGTCCTCTTAGTTTGCCCATCAGTTTGTGGATAAAATGCTGTGCTAAACCTCAATTATGTCCCCATTGCATCTTGTAGACTAGTGCCAAAATCTAGAAACAAATTTAGGATCCCTATCTGATACAATAGACACGGGAACTCCATGTAATCGAATAATCTCATCAACGTAGATAGTAGCAAGTGTATATGCAGTAAAAGAAGTCTTTACAACAAGAAAATGAGCAAACTTAGTCAGTCTATTAACTATAACCCAAATAGAATCCATACCTCCAGGTGTTCGAGGTAGGCCAACAACGAAGTCCATGGTGATATGCTCCCATTTCCATTCCAGAATAGGGAGAGACTGAAGCAAGCCTGTCGGTTTGTGATGCTCTGCTTTTACCTGCTGACATTGTCTGGACTTGGAATTGAAGTCTGCAATTTCTCTTTTCATGTTAGGCCACCAATATACTAGCTTCAAATCTTGGTACATTTTGATGTTTCCTGGATGCATGGCAAACATTCATTTGTGAGCTTCCGCTGAAATTATCCTTTTAGAGTCGGTTTCGTCAGGAATACATAATCTCCCTTGAAATCTCAACACAGAATCCTCAATCGTGAATCTCGATTTAGGCTTGGTGTCAAATTCATCACAAATCTTCTTCAAAAGCTCATCATTCATTTGCTTTTGTTGATTTCTTCAATAATTGCAGGCTATGCAGACATTGCAGCTATAAAGCTATCTTGTTCAAAAGTACCACTTCAATTTCAAGTTGTTCAAACTCTAGTAGCAATTCTTTGTGGTCTGTGAGCAAACAAGCAAGATTCCCCACATTCTTTCTCTGAGTTCATCTGCCATAGTGTTGGCTTTGCCCGGATGGTAGTAAATCTGTAAGTCATAGTCCTCGATCAATTCAAGCCAGCGACTTTGTCACATGTTCAATTCCTTTTGGGTGAAAAAGTACTTCATGTTTTTATGATTTGTGTACACTTCACATTTGGTTCCATACAGGTAGTGATGCCTGTAGACATCCTCGAACGTCCCGGGAGGAGATCATGTTCTGTTCATATGGGCTCACTACAGTTCAAGACTCAAATGTCACGGTCCTGTATCTAATCTCGTAGAGTGCAATGCAAGATCGATGAATCATCAAAGAGTCCATATCCGGCAAATCGTTTTTTGAAAATAGTTTTTTTTTGAAAGAAGTGCCAAACATGAACTGGTTTGCCAGATACAGAGTCGCCACCTAAATATTTTATTTTGGGGAATTTAGGAAACCCTGACTCGTTTGCCTAAGGCCACGTGTCCGTCATCACCAAAGTTGCCTCGGCTCGGGAACTTGGGTACGATTGGGGAAGGTCACTTCGTGAGCACCCCCGCTCGCCCGATCAAAGATCGGCCTCTACTAACCATGATATCTAGTTTTGAAAACATTATGCGTTCTTATTCTGGTTATTAGCCTAGATTTACTATGTGATGCGCACAGCATACAAGTATAGACTGGATCTCCCGAATTGGAACAAAACATTTCATGTTTGTTTTTGAAAGGGGTTTGCTACTCGCAAGTAGGCTTAAAATGCAGATTTTGCCACCCTCGGGTGGGCTTAGAAAAGATGGTTTTGCCACTAGCTAGTGGGCTTAAAACTCATAGTTAATGCATTATTCCAATTCAGATAACCCAACCTTCACCCACAGGCATTCAGGCAGTTATATCACATAAGCAGTTAGCCTCATGGTAAGCATGCTATCATGGCAGTCACTCACACGCATGCAAGGATGCTAAAGCATAAAACTTACCGAGTACTCCAAGCCAAAACAAAAGCTATGCTAGAAATCCATGCATGATCCTAACTATACAGAAATGCCTAATGCAACACATGCGAAGATGCAACTACAATAGGCTCGGCTATTCTAAAAATGGCATATGAGATGCTACAGCTAACATATATTCAACTTGGAATTGAAATACAATGCAGTTAGTATGATGCGCCGAGCCCGGTGCATGCAAGACAGATGAATGATACAAGCGTGCAAGCATAAGTATGCTAATTGAAACATGCCCTAATCTAACCATCATAAACTGGTAAATAAAAGGGAGAAAGACGTGAGGTGGGAAGACATACATCACACTCACGCACACTTATTACAACATTGCCCTCGCTCGGAGGGTCCGAATGAATATTACACAACCAAAATAAATAACGAATTATTACACAACACTAATTACTTAACAAATGAACTAGGTAAGCAAAGTAAACTAGCACGCTATGCTACGTGCAATGGACTGCCTTAGCTCTGCTCGGAATGATGGAGGGTGTGAGCATGCTCAATTTGCCTTGTCGGTAAATTCCATTGCGATGCCTCGTCTTGCCATTGTTTGCAATTGATTTTTGAAAGTTGCACAAGGCTCCAAGAGGCTGAAACTCCACCCTGGGAGGACTGCCGACCAGCTATTGACTTGGGAAGCACCTGGCGACCACCCTTTGTGGTGGATACCAAAAAAGGTGGTCGGCCGACCACTTTCTGCCCCTGAATCCTGGTTTTCTGTAACACAAAGTAGGAGAGAGACATGGCAAGGTATTTTCAACAAATGTGTGCACGACCACACACCCCGTCCTTGCATAAGCTCAAGGGAGTGTAGACCTCGATCCTCATGCCACCAATCACGCATCTCGATGCATGATGGCCGAGGAGTCGAATTACACGACTCAATGTGGAATGAATGCACATGAAAAGCAAGTAAAGCCAACAACTCTATTATGGACAGTCAAGAGTGTCGGCGATCGAGAATCGAGGCATGTTTCGTCACTTGGAGTACGAAACCTCCCTCATTTCCCGTGTTTGGACTAAACCCTACTTCAAACACAATGCAAGAAATAAGGATGACATGTCATGCACAAATGCAACTAGCATGCGATCCTAATGCAATGCGACCTAATCATGCAAACATGCAAGGATGAGATGCAAACGTGCTACTAGCATACACAATGCTGTGAACCATAAGGCATACACGATGCGACTAACAACCTAGCATACGCAATGCTATGGACTAAGATGGCATACACAATGCACGTGATGTAACATGGCACACACAATGCTCTAACATACAACCTAACATACGCAATGCTATGGACTGAAATGGCATAAACAATGCACGATGGACTTACATCAACATGAGTGGACCTCAGCCACACTCACATCAGTGGCCATAGGATGGAAATGAGACAACCGAAACACATGCAAACATGCACGGATGCAAAGGACCGATCGTAAGGCATAACATGCAACTCTAACTAAGCATGGCAAAGGATGAAACATGGCATAAAATGACACATGATGTAGCTCTAAAATGTGACAAAAGATGGTCCCGAAACATGCAAATATGTCACACAATGCAAGCTAGGGGACCCAGGTACCGAAACTAGTGAAGTGCGTTACACTAGAGGTACCCAAAGTAATGCACCAGTGGCAAAACCAATCCCAAACAGACCCTAGGCAGGTCTGAAACAGTAGGAAAATAGCCTAAAATGATGGCTCAGAATGTAACGAAATAAAGCTCATTCAATGGTCGGCAAATGAGGCATACAAGCTCGACTATCAAATGCATTTAAGGAGTACAAAACATAGCAATACAGCATTCATATAGGCTTTGAAATATGATGCAAAATGGACCCAAAACATGAACACACCTCAGTATATGCGTGGAATGGACCTCAAAACTCAAAGTTAAGCATGGGTATTGAACTACAAGCATGCAAAACAAACATCATTCAACCATGAAACCTGAAAACAGAGCTAGGGCAGTCCAAAACAAGCACAAAATCAGTTTAAGGCATGGCCAAAAAGTGCTAACATAAAGGGCTAAAACAATATGCAATTCAGGCTAGTAAGCATGGTTTACACTACATGTGTATGAAGCACAAGAGAGGTCACCAAACTAGCTAAAAACAATAACATGACATGCCAAATAAACCCCAAAAACCCACTGAAATGAGGTCCATGCATGCAAGAATGGTATGTTCCTTTGAAAGGCCATGAGGTGGATTACTCAACACATATAAGATAGACATGTAAAATAGCAAAACAAACTCTATAACTCTGTTATGACAGCCCTAAAACTCACCAAAATGGCCCAGAAATGGCTCAAGGAAATATGTAATGAAAGGTCCCCTTGAAAGGCCTTAAGGAGGATTGCTCTACACGTGCATGATAGACATGAAATATGGCCAAAGGAGTTCCGGATAGAGTCAAGGAAGACCCTAAAACTCACAAAATTGAGCCTGAAATGTGACTTCTCAACATGCAAAATGGGGGTCCTTTGGAAGGCCAATAAAGCTAGTAAAGAGAATGAGGGGTGAGAGGGTCACCCCTCTATGATTTTGAAGCTCAAAGACACATCTAAGCCACTGAAAATCCATTGGATTTCAGTGGCTAAAAGGCCAAATCAAGGCCAATGCAAATGCTCACATGCATAGCTCAAAACATGAGGAAATTAAGCATGAAAGGGGGTAGATAACCCCCAACAGGAAAATGACCTTAAGGAAACATGTTTATAAGCTCAAAATAAAACTCTTCTTAGTTCATGACAAATCTCGAAAATGCTCACATGTAGGGCTAAGCTATGAAGTAAAATAAGCCTACAAAGAGGGATAAAGCATACAAGGAGGTAGAAGGCCTCAAACAGAAAAGTATCCTTAATCAGACTTCAAGAGAAGCTCAAAATAAGACACTTTTCGTGGTGGTGAGTAAAGATGAAACACGCATCGGAAGTTGGAGTTGAAGTTCCCGCGGAGGGATTTCGCAGCGAAAAGTGCACTTTCCTTGTACTTTCTCGAGTGTCGGGGACTCCGAGCACTACAAAAATTTGCAAGGGGTTCAAAGAGACCTTGGAGACCACCTTGGGAGCACCACCGACCCGGTTTGGAGGCCATTGGAGGTCACCGACCAGGTTTGGTGAAGGGGGGTGGTTGGCCTACCAGAAAACGTGGTTAGCCGACCACCTAGCCCAAATCCGTGGCAATTTGGTACTTTCACACTTGGATCTTTAAGTATACTCGGCTAAAGCTCTTTTTGCTCATATCTTCAGATCCAAAATCACCTTCTCCTCCTTCATAAACCATTTTCTCCCTCAGATCTGCATTCTATACGCGTTTTCCAACGTCTCACGCAAAGTTGTTTCGCGAAAGCTTTCAGTTCTCTTCACTTTGTACCGATTAAATTTTGATTTCGGTGCTTCTTTCTCCATTTTCACCACTTGAGGTAAGTTTGTCTCAATATTTGGAACCTTTTCTCGGGAGTTGACTTTTGTTGACTTTTTCATTTCCCGAGAGTTGACTTTTGTTGACTTTTTCCAATTTTGGCTCATTTTGCTCATTTTTGCTCCTTTTTGCAGATATTTCGAGATGGCGGGTCATTTCCCTTATGGCGGAGGTCCTCCCGATGCCGGAGGTGATCCAGACATCATGTCCTTACCCTCAAGGATTCAGCCATTCGATCCCGAGAGGTATCACCCTCGGGAGCATATCCTTCCCCGGGCCATTTTCTACCATTTTACTGATTTTGACGATCGAGTGTGGATCTGCTATTGCGGGAGTCGGAGTCCCACCTCTCTCATCAGGCACGGGAGGTATGTACTTCACTTTTACATTTTCTACAATGTATTATGCATTTTCCGTGAATTTCATGCTTTCGCTATGTTTATCTGCTCATTCTAGCACACAGCTTGTTCTGAACACTTAGTCTATAACACAGTGTTTTGTTTGCATCTTGAACACATAGCTCAATCACTTGAATTTCTGAACACGCCGCCCACATATTGATTGTGAACACACAGCACACACTTGTTGAGGGTTGAACACACAGCCCAAACTTTGAATTTCTAAAGTCTGAACAGGCAGCCCAAACACTTGATGTTGAACACATAGCTCGAACTTTGAGATGAACACACAGCCGACTGATTTTGAAATCTGAACACACAGCTCAAATACTTGACGTTGAACACACGGCTCGAACTTTGAGATGAACACACAGGCCATTGATTTTGAAATCTGAACACATAGCTCAAATACTTGACGTTGAACACACGACTTGAACTTTGAGATGAACACACAGCCCATTCTTTTGGATGAACACACAGCCCATACTTGTTGAAAGTCGAACACGCAGCCCAAACTCTGAGTTTCTGAACACGCAACCCAAATTTGAGGTGAACGCACAGCACACACTTGCATTTGTACACAGCTCACAGCATTGTATCTGATTTGGTTTGCACACAGCTTATACATTTCATTTGCACGTAGCTTATTCGTTTCATTCTGAAACTGAATACATGTGTTTATTATGAATGCAGGTGTCTTCCCGTGTCACACGAGGATATGGCTCCGTTGTTACGAGGGAGTGGTACACAAAGCTCCAGGAGGCCGCCCGTGATTGGGTTGACCAGGCAGGGTTCGGACCATTTTACACTAGGATATCTCGCTATCCTGCTAGCAGGACATTGATGGGGGCTCTTGTAGAGAAATGGTGGGACACCACCAACTCCTTCCATTTCTCGACCACCGGGGACATGACTATGACCCCGTTCGACTTTGTTGTATTGACAGGCCTTGACGTGGGAGGCTGGACGATCCCTTATGGTGAGGATATGGGCGAGTGGGAGGCCGTCTGGATCTATCTATTGGGAGCTCGCCCACCGGTTGACAGAGCATTAGGAAGGGACCGGTACACTTGGTTCTCCACACATTTCAGGGGGACTGAGCCCGAGACTCCCGAGGAGACAGCGCAGTACACTCGAGGTTTTTTGATGTTCCTTCTCGGGACCACTCTGTTCTCCGATAAGGGGAACACTGTCGGGCTTTATCTACTGAGTGACCTGGTAGACCTCGCACGGGTCAGTCAGTATGATTGGGGTGGCGCTGGCATAGTTACCCTTTATTGCTACATGAGCGCGACCTCTCGCGGACGGGGGAACATAGTCAGTGGCTACTGGAGAGCCTGGGAGGTATTTTCTGCCCTCTTGATTTACATTTTTTCTTTTCATTATCTATACATTGCACACACGGCACACTTCACATTCTGTACTTTGCATTCTGCTCTCAGCATTCTGCATTCTCTATACATTCTGCACTCAGCATTCTGTATTCTGATGGCTATCACCTTGTTTTTCACAGCTCTGGGTTTTCGCGTACTTTTCTACGCTGATTCTGGAGCTCGAGGTGGCGGTGCCTCTCATGATCCCTTATTCACTTGTATTCGAGGGCCAATACTAGTCGAGGGCCTGAGAGACTCTACCTTACTTGCGGCAGTATTTTGACACAGTGCGGCCGACAGAGGTAATTCAGAACTCTCAGTTCTCCATGTTTTCATCTTTGATTCATCTTGCACATTTATGATTTCTAACCAGCTTATGCATTGGTTATCTGCAGTTCACATGGCAGCCCTGGGCGCCCTTGGGTGGGAACACCCGATTTCAGCTTGCTAGGGGGTGGGCCGCTTCCCGGTATAGGATCTTATTTGAGGGGCCTGTTGGTAGAGCCTGGTTTCTGGGGGATCGCTTCATGCGCCAGACAATGGGCTACCCTAATCAGGATATCCCCTCAGCACCTTCGGTCGATATGCGGTCTACTGAGGGGCTCACTCCACAGAATGTCGTTAGTGCCATGTTGGGTACAGACGTGTTGCTACATTTAGAGGAGGGAGACTGTGCGACCTACCGTCATACATACCTGATGCCCCCGTTGATAGGTGTTCGTACTCCCATGAGGAGGCCTACTGGCATGCCATCATCGAGCCGACCCCGGGCTGCAGATGTCTCTTTGACCAGCAAAGCCGGCACATCGAGAGGTAGGGCTAGACTGGTTCCCCCTATCCCCCCGACTTACCATCATGCCGGATGGCCAGACATTCCGACCGAGTTGACGGGTTGGCGATACAGGACTTCCTACCTAATTCCGATAGAGCCTCCTATGCCCGATCATTGATATGTCAATGATCTTGACTCACCACCGGTATGCTCCACTGCTTTTGATTTATCACTCAGATACTTGGACACTCATTTATTCATTGATGATTTGAGTTTGTATCTGCAGCCACCCAGAGAGTACATGGAGGGGATGCTCGGATTGGTGGCCTCTCTTGAGGGCATGGTCTTGCGGAGGGAGGCACAGTTGTCCATCCTTGGTGTGTCGGTACTCTTTAGTTTTCTTGCATTTATCATACTTCTGATGACATGCTGAACTTGAACATTTCACTGCATTGATTGACTGTATGTTTAGAGCACATCTAACACACACCTCATTCATGTACTATATCTGCATACATCCACTCTATGTAGCTTTCTTGTCTGTGTGTCTGATATACATATTTTGGCTGATGTATTCGAATTGCACTCTTTCTTTTCAGATGCCTCCGCTATATACTGAGCCGCAGGTCGGGCCATCTAGGCCTTCCCGGGGAGTTGGGAGAGGGGGTTCGACTCGCGATCGAGGCAGACGCAGAGCACCTATTGTGGAGGAGGAGTCCAGCGAGGAGGAGGAGCATGCACATCCCCAGTCAGAGACATCCGCCGGCAGAGAGGAGGACTCTGGCTCTGGTTCCGGTAGTGGAGATGAGGCCGAGGAGGGTTCCGAGGATGACAGCCCCGATTCAGATGACGATGATGGTACAGAGGCTGTTCCGCAGAGGAGAACGAAGAGGGCCTCTTACTCCTGTGCTTGATAGTACTGATGCAGTTGTTCCCTGCTTTATTTGCCTTTTTTACTAGTAGTTGTAGCACATTGTACATTATTTGGCAGTTTTATTTTCCATAAAACTTGTACCCTTGTTGTAAAATGTTGTAACAAAGGAAGCATGATGTAATGAAATAGCTTTTTGAAAACCTGTTGTATTTTATGTTCTCAGCATCGCATCGCATTGTTTCGCACGAAAATGAGATCGAATGGAATTGTGCACTGAAAATTGCTGAGTTAGGTGATGAACCGACACAACAAACTAAGCAATCAACTTACTAAGAAATGACACATACTTAGCAAGGTTGCAACTCGATAAATAAGACACGACAATATCGATTAAACAAAGAGTAACAATTCAATATACAAAACTCAACAGCTCGACAAAACTTAACAACTCGATAAACTTCACAACTCGACAAACGAAACAACAACTCGATAAGCAGAACAACAACTCGATAAGCAAGACTTAACAACAACTCGATAAACAAAATGCATTTCGAACGATCTGGGTGACGGAACACATCCGAAATAGAGAAAAATTCGCACCTTCAACACTCCCGATGCATGGAAATGCTAGGAACTCTCTTCCAGAAGCTAGGACAAGACCAAAGCCACACTTCTCTCCATGGCCGACCACCTAAGGGAGCTAGCCGACCAGTTTTTTTCAATGAAGACCAAAGGGGTGGTCGGCCTACCAGAAAAGGTGGTCCGCCGACTACTTGGCTTGGCACCCATCAGTTTGTTGACACGTGTCCCCCAAACAGTGCCTTATCCTCTATAAAAGTCCCAGCTTCGTGGTTCATTCATTTTATCTCAGTTTTGCATCAGAATGGAAGCGTTTCTCATCCAAAATCTCAAAGCTTGTATTGCTTCTCTAGATGGCTCGGAAAAGTTGAACTTCCGGGGCTTCGGCTTGAATGCACTATTCACGCTGAGCCGTACTCCGCTGCATCTTCCTTTCCTCCATGCCGTGGCAAGGTTTTGGAATCCAGTAACACACGTCTTTAGCTTTAGCGGGCAAGAGATGTGTCCTACCTTCGAGGATTTCTGAGTTTTGATAGAATCTGAGCGCAATGAGGAAATCTTACCTCAACTCCGATTTGGCCACGTCCACGCCCTAGGACAAATGTGCGGCCTCACTTTGCATGATGCTTGATCATTGGTTCACGACGGGGAGCTGGACATCCCAAGCTTGGTTCGCTGGTTTTCTGATGCTGGTGACTGCGGCGACCATCATTGGCAGGGCTATCGGTGACACGCGCTTTGCCTATGCTTGCTATCTCACTTCTTGCTTGCCCCGTGCTCCGGTGGATTCAATGTCCGGTTGATCGAGGTTGCCCAAGGTTTGAAGGAGGGCAAGAGCTGCATCGCCATGACATTGGCTGAGACATTGATGGGTTTAGACGCTTTTCATCGCCGGGAGACGGCCAGGCTTGAGTGGAGCCCACTACTATTGCAGGTAATATTTCCCACCCAATCTCACATATGTATAGCTCACATCACTCGGCCCTCAGGCTCGGTTTTTCTCACAAAACCCTTTTCTTTCTTTTCTCTCATCGTACATCTCTCTATTCTTTATTCTCTCATTTTTCATCACTCCCCAGGTGTGGTTGATGGAAAAGTTACAGATTGTGGAGCCTTGCCCATCATATTCAGCTCGCAGCTACTTTTTTCGACAATGCCTGGTCGATGCCCTAGATGAGGGGTGGTGGTACAACTGGATGTGTAGCTTGACTGCAGACAGCATTACCTAGTGGTGCCCTTGGCTCAACCTACTGGCAATGAGTTACAACATGTCTCAACAGGCCGGGATCCAGTTGATTGGTATGACACACTGTGTCTTCTATTTTCCGTTCCGGTTCCAACGCCAGTTCGACCATGATGAAACTTGCCCGCCAGAGGGGATAGAGTACCCGGCCGCATTCCCAGCCCGAGGCGCACAGCTTGCCCGGTATGCCACAACATGGATGACTAGAGAACTCTTGGCCCCCGCTCCCACTTTCAGTTGCACTTTGTCTGATGAGTGTTTAGATTGGCTTAATGAAGAGGCACATGAAGGGCCCACTTTGGCATCGGAGGCTTCGACCAGCTTTGGGAGGGGGTGCAGGAACACCTGACTTATCTATGCCTCGGATTTATTGCTTTATCAGTACTTTCAAGTTTTCTTTATGAATGTAATAAAAAGCAACTTCAATTTGTATGCAAGAGCAGGAGAACTCTATATTGAAATCAATGAAATTGAAGATTGTGGGTGCTGAAAATTTTCCGCTTTGGTCCAAAAATGGTCTAAGTTGTAAAAAGATTAATTTTGAACAAAGTCAACTTTTATTAAAACTTTTCAAAACCATTTTCGATATGGATCAGATCTGGACACGCCCGAAATCTGTCACTGAGACGCATAACCTCGGATCCTAACAACTGGAAAGTTGCCCCCAGTCTGAATAGTACTGCGGCACTGCACAGCAACGGAAAGTTGCCCCTAGTCTGAAAAGCACAGCACCGGAGATCATAGCCGAACTCCTGAATGTGGAATAGACAAAGGTGGCCGAGACGATCAGATGGACAAAGTTGATCGGGGAAAAGTTTATGGCTGAACTTCAGGATGAAGTTGCCTACGTATCCCAAAGATGGGAATCAAGCCTTACGTAGTTCAGGCTCAGGTTCACCCGAGTATTTTCACTCTCCTTTTACGCTCTAACTTTTGCCAAGGCCGCCCTTTGCGGGTTTTCAACCTTGCGAGCTCACTCTTTATATTTTCCAATTTTCTGTGCTTTAACTTTTGCCTAGGTCACCCTTTCGGGTTTTCGGCCTAGCGAGCCTCTCAAGGGTAATATTTCTTCAACTTGTCCATGTTGATCGGTTGGGAGAACTCTAGGCCATCTAGGTCCATCAGAACCACAGCTCCACCTGACCAGATAGACTTAATGATGTAGGGACCAGTCCAATTGGGTCTGAACTTGCCCCTAGGGTCGTGGATAGGAGCTCGGTTGTCCTTGAGCACCAAATCTCCTTCTTTTAGATTCCTGGACTTAACCTTCTTGTTGAAAGCCCAAGCAATTCTGCGC